CTCAGTCCTCACCTGTATTTAGGAATATGGCAATCTGACCAGTGTGCCCTGTCATGGTAGTTAGCCCTCTCTGGGTCCTCACCTGTTTTTAGGAAGAAAGCATCATTCCCTAAGTTACAGCTGTACTGAACTGACTATAATGTTCTGGTTACAACTTTGCAGTGGCTAATGCCCAAAACTTTCACAGGAATGACACGGTGCATTTTCCACCCCTGTAGTAAAAAATCAGCAACCTTCCAACCAAGCACAGTCATTGACAATAATCAGTTGCAACGTTGAAAGTCAAATGCCCTACCTTTCCTACATAGAGGGGGTCTGAACCCATGTATTCCTCCAGCACAAAGAACTGATTCCACACCCAGCTGCGCTTGGTCCGGGACCTCCCTGATTGGAAATAGGGCTTTGATCTGGACCTTGAGAGCTCTGCTTGACTCATCCCCGAAAAACACAGGAAAAGAGCGATGAGCTGCAGAAAATGGCAGAACTCCACTTTGCCCAACTTCATCTTTTTTTTTCTTTCTTTTTCCTGTGTAAGAAAAAAACCTTGACAAGAGAAAAGGCACAGTTCCAGTTGGCTTAGTCGCTTTTGCCTCCGGCAGGGTGTCAGCTGGGAGTCCAGAGATAATAATTTGTAGAGTGTTGGACTGGAAGAGGTCACCACTGCTGAACAGCCTTCGCCAAAGAATGGTGTAATCGGTACCTATCAGAACAAAGAGAGAGGCTCCTGTCAGATGCCAAAACACATAACAACAAATAGCTTTCGTTTACTACCTTAATATTGATTTGCTAAAGATATCCTTTGCATAATCATTCAAATATTAATTGTACACTTAGAAAATTACAATAACCATTGCCATATCTGTAAATTACATAAATGCTGCTGATGCAGAATTATCCTCATTCCATAGCACAACCTGAAAATATCATGTTGCTTCTAGGGCATTTTATTTGAGCATCTGGTTTATTTTATACAAGCGTAGCAGAATCGTTTTAAAAAGCATTTTAATGTTAGCCTTCATTTTTTTTTTCTTTTATATGGCAGTCATTTTCATTCATTGGTATTAGGATGTGAAAGCAAAGCAACTCAAAGCAGGGATTTAACCAAATGGGGAGGACATATGCTGGTCTAAAGCTCTTCTGTGAAACTGTAAAGAGAAATGAGAAGTATGAGGTGATTCAAAACGGGTTGATTGATTCTGAGTCACAGAGCACCAGCTGTTTTGATATGTTCTGATCTGATTGGGATCATCTGAAAAGCTCAGTAATTTCTTTTTTCTGCCTTCAAACTCCTTGGCATGTACTCTGCGTAGCCTGCGTGGCTATGCTATTATTTGAGTTTATACAAATATTTATTGAACACCTTGCAGATGACTTGTGCATAGGAGGGCAGTTCTCCATAAACACTTACAGAACTGAATTATATTAATCCACAAAGGAGTGAGAAAACTCAACTATGTTTGTGAGCCCCACGGAGTGCTGGCATGCACTCAGGAGGTGATTTAGCAGTGGCATAGAGAAAAACCTTTTAACCTAATGTCTATTTATTTCAGTTACAGAATTCTTACTATGCAAGAGATATAAAATAAGTTACAAAACAAACTTTCAAACACACCCTGAAACACAGAACAATGAGAATTTATGACCAAATGCTCACTTAAATCACCACCTTGCACTTTGGTTTATGAATTCATTTTACATCCTATCTATAAATCAATAACAGAACGATAAAGGAAAAAGATTATCACTTGTTTATTCTTGTTATTTTTGAAGAAGGAGAGGGGAAAAATATAGTTTCTGAGAACATGAAACAAAAAGATATTTCCCTGTTAAAGCAGAAAATATCTTTATAAGGTTATCCATCTTTCTACATGTCTCTTCTGTAAAAGAAGTATCTGTTTTTCCATAGAAAAATCTTTCTAAAAGCAGAGTATGAATGTCTTAACTCAATAACTAAGAAAATGACATGAAGGCTATGTTAACCAGTTTGATGAGAGTATTTCAAAATGTATATCAAAACACCACACTGTACCCCATGATTGCATTAATGTACAAAGCTATGATTTAATATATTATAAAAATAAGAAAAGAAAAATACTTCTATTGAAAAAAATCTATTTAGTAAAAGAAATATGAAGGAAAATATATACATGCATATAAATTTACTATATATGTTAAATATTCTATACAACTGTAGGAAACGTGTTCCTTGAACTCTATTAAAATAGACATACACGTTTTAAAAATAACTCCATAAGGTTCTGGTATTTCAGAGGGCATTTAAGAATGATCTGATATTTAGTTATCCAGTGTGTGCTGAGACCAACCAGAATGTCCCTGTTATTAGAGCACATTAACTGTAGTCTGTGCATGGAACACAATCTCTCCAGATCCAGAGGTTCAAAAGTGAACTACTCCATGCAGAAACCACCCTAGAGGGCCAGTTGTTCTAAACTTGTAATTCAAAAGCACAAGTAACGTGGGGTCACCTTGATGTTCGAATGTAGGACCCCCGGTCACACTGAAATATCCTTGCCGGGAGTTCTGACCAACCCACATGAGAAGCTGTCTGGACTTGAAGGAGGAAGGAAATGATGCTTTAGTGCAAGTTAGTCAAATAGAGAGACAAGAATCAAGAGAAGTGGCTTTAGTAGGCTTTGCTGCTAGCCTGGGAAGGAGCAAGGTCACAAAGCTTCCTTTATCTAGTTGAAAACCAGGTTCTTGAGGCTGGGGAGGGATGGTTTAGTGTTGTGGTTACAGGACTGAAACCCACATGTGAAATCCACAGCCAAATAACAACAGTTCCATCTTCACCTTCTCCTAAGGAATAAATTACCTCTTAAAAATAATAACATAAATACTTTGGACCCTAACACTTATTTTCTTTAAATGTTATAAAGTAAAATTATATTATTAAGCTAATTAATTTCATTTCACTCTGTATTGAGACAGAGTCTTGCTCTGTTCCCTGGGTAGAGTGCCATGGTGTCATAGCTCACAGAAACCTCGAACTCTTTGGGCCAAGTGATCTTCTTGCCTTAGCCTCCCAAGTAGCTGGGACTACGTGTACCTGAAATAATGCCTGGCTAGTTTTTCTATTTTTAGTAGAGCTGGGGTCTCGCTCTTGCTCAGGCTGGTCTCAAACTCCTGAGCTTAGGAAATCTACCTACCTTGGCCTTCCAGAGTGCTAAGATTACAGGTGTGAGTCACTGTGTCTGACCTAATTGATGAGTTAAATGGACTTGTTAACAATGTTTCAGTGTGAAAATGTATCCAGCTTCTAAAAACTAAATAGAAAATAAACTTTTGGAATTGAAAATTGGGACAAATTATACACTGGTGAAGACTGTGGGTGTCTGCATCCAACAAAGATTCAAATCCTGGGTCTGCCATATTCTAACCACGTAATAATATTGAGTAAGTTAAACTCTAAGAACTTAAGTTCCAAAAATGAAGTCTCAAGCCTCTCACCTATAAAATAAAAATGACAATAATAGCATCTCCTTCATAGAATTAAATGAGCAAATCATGAAATGTGAACAGCAGTGTCTCACACATCAAGAAGCAATAAAAATAGCTGCTGAGATTTTAGGTAAAACTTGTTATGTTAAAATTGAGGTTAGTTTGTGAAATGATGTCAGTTTTCATTTTAATGTGAGCCATAGTCAAATATTTTAGACAACTCGTAAGGTAAAGGAAAACATTCTTGATAGTTGAAGTTGGTGCCGGAGAAATAGATGGGCATGACTCAAAAAACTCTAGATGAATACAAACAGAGGGGCCATTTTTTTAAAGAAAAAAAATATATAATTGTTTCTTTCCTAAAGGTGAGCCCTCTGGAATTTTATATGACTCAGATACTAGTATCAGAATTGGAGAAATTTATGTGAGTTCTCTAGGGAGTTCACTGATGAGGCATGAAAAGAACTTCAGTGCTACCAGGGGTAAGATCACTGGACTCTGGCTCCTATAACCTCCACCACTTGCTGCATAACTTGGCTCTCACTGGAATTTTATTTTCTACATGTGCAAAATAAAGAAGCTGAACCAAATTCTTATAAAGTCTGTATCTACCCCCCCTTCTTACTTTTCTGCTTTTGACAATGATATAAAATTGATTTTGTTAGCTGTGTATTGTTAATGATGAAAAATGAAAGGCAGAGAAATTAAAGAAAGCCATTGGAATGTAAAGGATGCATTTGGCTGTGTAGGAAACGCAGTACGCTCTTTAACAAGAGCCATTGAATTTTCTCTTCTTGCCTCTTCAAGATCATTTCTTGTACAGTAAGACTGTGCCCTTATCACGTTAGCTAAGAGAACATATAAAAGAAGATCGTTGCAAACTATGCAATGGGTGGTGGTAGAGTCATTGAGATAATATTTGTGAAGGGAAGATACCTTATAATTGTGTGTTATCTGATTTAAATCAAGAGTTTGAAAAGCAGCTACTATTGACATAGATCTTGATGAATAGAGGTAGCGACCCTATATTTACATCTTTAGTATCTAAAGCAGAAATAGGCACATCACTGACAAGCGGAAACTATTTACAGAAGGTTTGTTTTCATTATAATCAATTACATTTTTTAATGAAGAAAATTAACAATACAGTAAGTCAATGTACCAGGTTTATGAATCGCAGTCATGGTGATGCCATTATATTTCTCTGCAGTATTTGAAGTATTTTCCAGGCTCTGGAGCCAAATTTTCCTTACCCTGCTTCAAGGTCTCTAAGAGTACACAAGAATACTTTAACTGGCTTTGTGTGTATTTTGGGAGGATGAAATTCTCTTATATGAGGGTGATAAATGCTACTGTCACACCCTTTCTGGAGTGTACTTGGGAAACCAGAAAATGATATCTAGACTTACGATCAAAAGTGAGGAAGTTTCATACTTTGTTCATCAATATTTTCAGTAGTTATCAGTGCTGTCAGGAATATATTCCTGATATACTAGGGGAAAAGCTGTCGGTTGCAGGTCAGATACCCCTTAAGTCTTCCCTAAATCCTTGCCTTCCTTTTCAATCAGATCTGATTTTCAACTTTAAGCCCAGTATAACAGTTCAACCCAGTTCTGGACTTGGGTCACCATGAGAGAAATGAGAACTCTGAAGAATTTTGAAAAACTTTAGTTCTTTGTCTGGGGTTGTCAAACAAAAGTAGCCAAAACCTGAACTAGAGATTTTCATACATACTGTCTGACTTACTCTCCAAACATGTGTTTTATCCTCTCATAAAAGTCAACATTACTATAGGGTAAAGGCACTACAGTAACTTGTTTTTAATTTAAATGAACATGAGCACTGCACCAATTATAATTGTTGATTTTACACAATGGATTAAATAGTACCTCACACGACTGTGCCCCAAAGCAAAAAACACTGCATCCCTCCTTAGACCTCCCCATCAGCATCTTCCCCCATCCCTCTGCCTCCTGCATCTAAGACTCACATACAGGGTTTAACAGAGTCAGACAGAGACCTTGGCTTCCACGCTATATAGCATGGTGCCCTTTCGTTGTGGCAAAGCTTACATGAGTGACCCCTTGGGCTTTGGACCTCTGACCTTTTGACTATTACTAGTTCAGGAAAAAAAGTGCAAGAAAAGGTGTATTGGAACAGTTAAGGGATATAACTGTTCACACGGATCTATGTCAACTCCCGGACAGTTACAAATGAGGAACATTGTGACTCTGAGGAGAA